CCATGGTCTCACCCCTTTGGCAGCAAGGGAGAATGAAGAAATCAAGATACAAGGAAAAGTTTAGTCCAAAGGATTAAGGGACAACAATTACCATGGCCTCCACCAAACTGAGTCCAGTACAACTAGATGATGCCCGGCTACCACCACTGACTGCTCTGACCAGGATCACAACAGAGGGTCCTGGATAGAGCTGGAGAAAAATGTAGACAAAATTCTAACTCACAAAAAAAGACCAGACTTACTGGCCTGATAGAGACTGGAGAAACTCCTAGAATATGGTCCCTGGACATACTTTGAGCTCACTAATGGAGTCACTCCCGAGGTTCACCATTCAGCCAAAGGTTAGACAGCCCCATAAAACAAAACAAGACTAGTGGGGCATGACAGTCCAGGGACAAGGACTAGAAGGAAGGAGGGGACAGGAAAGCAGGTAATAGGGAACCTAAGGTGGAGAAGGGACAGTGTTGACATGTCATGGTGTTGTTAACCATTGTCATAAAACAATAATATGTTTACTAACTCTTTCATGAGAAACTATTCTGTAAATCTTCATTTACGGTACAATTTAAAAAAAAAAAGAGTTGAGTTTGCAGTATTCCTCCCTGGGTGATGCAGATGGTTAGGCACTTGGCTACTATCTGAAAGGTTGGCAGTTTGAATCCACCCAAAGGTGCTTAGGAAGAAAGGCCTGGTGATCTGCTTCCAAAAGATCACAACTGTTGAAAACCCTTTGGAGCACAGTTTGATCTGACAACTACTGGCTTGGTTTTGTTTTCTTGATACATTATCTTGGAAATAGTTTTTACAGTCCACTTCTTACTTGTGAGACTTTGGGCAAGTTTACCCACCTTCTTATGCTTCAGTTTCCTTATCTGCAAAATGGGATAATAACAGTATTTCCCTCCAGTAATTGCTGTGAGGTTGGTTTAAGTTTAATTATGCATACGAGGTGTATTGAGCATAGTGCCAGGTACCAGGGAGTGCTCAATAAATGTGAGCCTCATCATCATCATCAATACTTTGCTGAAGTCACATATTATGCTGGCTTTTTATCTGTAGGAGGAACATTTGTGTTTAATTCAAGACAACACATGTGAAGGCCCTGTGTTAAACCTGGTTGTAGACACAAAGATGCACAAGAAAGAGCCTTTGCCTTCTGGAAACTTCCATAAGACCTCCTTAGAGCTTAGCTTGATATTTTCCCATTATCCCATAATCATTCCAAGTAATTTTTGGGGAGAGTGTCTGTTATTGTTGAAAGCCCTGGTGGTGCAGTTGTTAAGAGCTACACTGCTAACCAAAATGTTGGCAGTTTGAATCCACCAACCTTGAGTTGGCAGCTCCATGGGAGAACAACCTGACAATCTGCTCCCATGAAGATTTCAGCCTAGAAAACACTATGGAGCAGTTCTACTTTGTCACATGGTGTCACCATGAGTTGAAATTGGCACCTAACAACTTTAGTGAACTATCTAACTCCCAGGGCAGGGGTTCTAGCTATGAGATGATAGTAACCATAGTCCTGCTGATGGCCTCCTGAGAACCTCATTCGCCTGAGTAATTTCTCCTTTGTGAGAGTCTCACTGCAAGTGTTGGGTGTCAGTTCTGAGTTGTGTAAGGAATACCAGATTCCTCTTCAATAGCTTTCCTGCAGAGAGAGAAGGAGGGAGGGGTTGAGGAAGTGTGTAACTTGTTCCTTCTTTGCCCCTTATATTTCCTTTGCTCCACAAGAATAGCTCTCTCCCACTGTGGACACCCACCATCTTGTAAAAGGCATGCTCTCTTTTACTTGTTTGCAGGCCCTCACCATAGTATAGATTTTATCTGTGTGTGTGTGTGTGTCTGTGTGTGTGTACGTATGCGTATAAAACCCAGTGTTCCTTCTGGGGATGATTTGATTGATGTATACACTGGAAACATCTTTAATAATTTAATGTCTGCTTCAAAGGAGATTACACCAAAAAGCACATTGCTTTTCATTTATTCGTTACAGGTCTGTCATAGCAGCAATTTTTTTTTTTTTAATTTTTTGCTCTGAATTTTAGTGTCATAGTAATAATAAATTTTGTTCCAGACTCAGGATATTTTAAAGGATTATAAGCCTTTTAACTAATGTTACTGTCCTATTTAAATTGATCAAATTGTATTTCAGCACCATAATCTTGCATTTCTTCCATTTGAGTTAACTAGATGCAGCTTCATTTGATGACTACTAAAATAGCTGTACTGGGAAAGTCTAATAGAAATAATGGGATGAAAGCGTAATATTGCTCGTTAATAGGAGTGGCAATAATGGTGAAGAGAACAGAAGCCTGAATTTAGGGCTGGATGTATTCAACTTTGGCATCTTCTTCCTTTAGAAGAGATATTAGAGTGCAGTATATAATACAGTATGTTTAGGGATTGAGTTGAGTGAAGGGATAAGATTGAGAAGTACAAAATTAAAAACTAAAAAATAACACTTGATCATTTTGCAATTTTAGATATAAATCCAGATGTCAGAAAGCAAAACAGATCTTTTTCCTACTTAGACAGAGTGGCTACCTTAATGGGCTTTAGCAAGCTTTTATGATATACTGTCAGAGAGGCAAGGACCATATAATTATTTAGGTTCTTAAATAATTATAGTAAATTATGAGTTTTCTCTTATAATAATAATATTATAGAACAAAATATTAATATAATTAATAGAATCCATATAATTAATGCAAATTAATGAGTATATTAATATAATGTAATTAATTGGTAGGTTAATATAATGTGAATATAACATAAATAATATAATAAATATAATAATTAATTTTTAAAATTAAGAAACACTATAAATTTCTTTAAAACCAAAACCAAAAGTTTCCCTGAATAAGGCAAGTTTAGGCACAGTAAGAATTGAAACCATATCTAGGAGAGTGATTTACAATTATCCAATTTTCAGAGGTAATTTAAAAAGAAATCGCTCTTACTGGCCATTGCTGGTGCAGTATTTCTGGGTTTCTGTTATGTACTGCTTCAGGTACTCTGCCTAACAATCTTTATAATGTTTCCTCCTACACCAGAAGTCTTTAATAGAAATCCAGAAATGTTTTGTTCTCATATAGAACCCTGTGTTTCCCCTAGCAGCAGTGGTTCAGTATTTGCTAACCCAGTGTCCACAGTGACTTTATAGACCATAACTACGTGAACAATGAGAATCGACTGTATGTCTTTCTCGCCTGCTGTGCTCTGAGCTCGTTTACGTAACACACATGATGCCAGACACTATGGTTCTCAGAATACCTTAAGAGCAACTAATTACTTTTCCTGCATTTTTAAAAGTGCGTCCTTGGTATAATACAATTTGAGACTTTTTTTTTCTGACAGAATATAGGAATTTTTAGTTCCAACTCTTTCCTCTTCAAAATGGTATTGTGTTGAATTGTATCCTGAACTTTTTAGCCTACTCCCCTTTATTTTCTTTCTTCTGTACTTCCCAAGGAGCCCTGGTGGTGCAGTGGTTAAGAGCTCAGCTGCTAACCAAAAGTTCAGTGGTTTGGAAACCCACCAGCTTCTCCATGGGAGAAAGATGTGGCAATCTGCTTCTATAAAGATTTACAGCCTTGGAAACCCTATGGGGCAGTTCTGCTCCCGCCTATGGTCACTATGAGTTGGAATTGACGCCAGTGGGTTATCGTGGTTTTATAGTACCCAAACTGACAGCATTATATTAACTTTTGCAAAAAGCCCATTAGTGGTCCCGTAACAATTATTTGAGCAATTAGAAGAGATGGACTTGCAGAGTTGAGAGAGAGGTCATTTTACAGAGGCTGGAGGATTAAGCAACTTGCCCAATGTCAGACCCCTAGGAAGAGGCAGGTCTGGGATTCTAACAATAGAACAAATTCTGTGTTCTTTCTACCTTGTTGTTTTTTTTTAAAAAAACCATTACCTCGTTGGGGAAAATGAAGAAATATGATAGCTCCAGGAGAGAATGTATCACAACAAACGGGAAAGGTTTGTAATTTTTTTTAGGATCTGTGATGTGCCAGGTACTGTGCTAGGCGCTTTATATAACTTACCTCATTTTTTTCCATCATTTATTTTTTAATGTTTTTTTTTTAATTAAAATTTTTGAACTTATTTGTATTTTTTATTGTGGTACTTATATATGTAACAAAATGTGCCATTTCAACAATCTTCACATGCATAACTTATTTAATCTCCACAAATGTTTATTATATTCCCATTTTACAAGTGGAGAATTTGAAACTCACAGAAGCTAAGGAACAGCCAGTAAGTGCCTGGCCAGGACTTGAACCTGGGTCTTTCTTCCTCTACTATGTTGCCTCTGAAGCTCAGCATCCTGCAGATTTGCATGTATCTAAATAGCAGTGAAAATGCCTAATTGGAGCTTATAAAATATTTTAGCATGTATTATTTTTATAGAAAGGATGTTTAGTTTCTTGGCCTTGGATCTGCTTGACAACTGATTTTTGTTGTTAGAGGTATATCGTCAGCTTTCTTAGGCATTGCATGGAAAGCTTTCCACATTCCATATCAGAAAACCTGGGTTTATATCCTGGAGCCATCACCCTTGGAAGTAAGGATATAATCTTTTCTGGGCTAGACACTCCCAGACATTGGCCACAGGTCTCTGCGGTTCAGTTTCCTGTCTGGCATGAGGATTAAGAGCATCGGTTCTGGAGTTACATGCTTAGTTCAAATCCTGGCTCTTCCACTCATACATAGTGGGATCTGGGGCTAGATACTTAGTAAGGCTGTGCCTTAGTTTTCTCATCTGTAAAATGAGAATAATACCAACTTCATAGGATTGTTGTGAGAATTGAAAGAGAAAATCCCATAAATTGTATCACACAGTAGATACTCAGTAAAGGTTAACATATTATATACTGTAAAGTACTATGCAAATATAAAGAAGTTTCACTTGACAGTAATACAATAAATTATTGCTTTATTATAATGCTCCCTGGAAAAGTCTCTGTTATACTTCTTACTTTTGATTGCAGAGGCCAGCAGAAATAGTAGATGAGGAAGAAGATGGAGAGAAAGAAAACAAGGATATAGAACAGAGTGATTTTTCAGGAATGAACGGTGAAGTTGAAGATGAAGGAGGTCAGGAGGCTACAGATGAGCCTGAGCAAACCAGGGAGACTCTGGATCACAGGGAGAGGCAGGCAGGTCCTGCTCGTGTAAATGGAAGCACTGATGAAGAAAACGGTGAGGAACTGGACCAGGTTAATAATCAGCCTCAACCAGAAGTGGATAAGGAAAGAAAGTCTCAAGGAGTTGGCAGTGGACAGGCTGAGGTATTTCTGTTGCTTGTGCTCACTTGTGTGCATGCATGAATTTGTGGGTATGCATGAGTATGTGTGCACGTGCGTGTGCACGCACGCTCGGAATTATTTAAGCATTGTAGGACTTGCATTTGAAACAATGAGTAGGGAAGAATCCAATACCATTTATTTGTCTACATTATTTTAATTAGTTAACAAGTATTGTCATCTATCTGTTAGTTCACATGTCTGCCCGTCTGTCATCCATCCATCCATCCATTTCCTACTCATTCTATAAAAATATTTACAGAGGCTTCTAAGAACATATACAATTAAAAATTATGAATAACAAAAATAAGTTAAGACAAGGGAAGATACAAACCAGAGAAGAATATCAAGACCAGTGAGAGTAAAAAGATTATATAAAGATTACTATATCTATTATGAGTGACTTTTTTGCTCTCTAGAAGTATTACATGCTAGTTTGCTTTGTCTTCCTTACATGGATTAATTAAGTGTTCAATATACTGGGAACTTAGTAGTATGTAGTTCTGTTATATATAGAGGATAAAGAAATATGTAGCAAAACCACCCACCACTGACCCCAAAGCAGGATATTCCCAATTCCTTGTATTCTCCCATAGGATAGATGAAGTTCCTTGGTGATGAATATGAAACAATTGCTGTCAGGCTTGAGTTGAGTCTCATAGCATCATCTGAAGGCAGGTTGTACTCCATAACTTTCTCTCTTCTGCTTATCCCTTGAAGCTTCTCCATCAGGTTAGGGCCCACCTCTCTCAAGGCAGTAATCTCTGACATCCACTATGATGAATGGCAACTTTTCTATTTTATTTTGCTTGGGAAGACCAAGTTTAGTTAGAAATGCAAAACATTCTTGGGGTCAGGTTCCAATGACCAGTACAAAATTATGTGTAATCCACTGATAATTTACCACTTACAGGAAAACATTCTTAAACATGTAAATGAAAACACTCAGCATACTTTTCACTTTATTTTTCTCAAGGTGAGATAATCACAGTCTTAGTCTATAAGAATTCCCCATATGCAGTTCTATATAGTTATTAAAGTTTAGCTAAAAATTGGATCTTGAAGACATTGGTAGCTAAAATAAAAAGGAAAACACAGTCAATTATGGGATTCTCTTTCCCTTCATATGGGAAAAAAAATAGTTTCTGAAGGACGGCAAAAAAAAAAAAAAGATTTCTCAAAGGAAATAGAATTCTTTGTCTAGGGGAATCATTTAGGAAGCACAATAATGTAGGGGACTGTTTTCAATGTCACTTAATATGGCAATTGCAATAGTAGGTTTCATGTATCTCTTTGTTGTAGTGGCCTTCCATGAAAGTTTGCAGCATGAAACCAAAGCATAATTTTATGTGGGACTTAGTAAGATCCAAGTGGTCTAGCTAAAGCAACGTTAAACCCTAAAGTAGATTTTGCAGAAATGAAGGACTGATTGCCTGTCCTTCATCTTCCATAAATACAACTTCTGAAAATAGGCCTTTGATAGGAAGTGAGCATCAGTAGAGACTGATGTTATGTTACTTGGCAAGAGCTTGAAATACAGGAGTTCATGGTATATATTGGGGATGAATCTAGCAGGTACTTGGGAACTCAAATGAGCAAGTGCCCTATATATGGCTAGTTACGAATTTTAAGAACTATATAAATTCCTAAGTTGGTTCATTTACCCACAATGAGATTTAATGTTATTTGACTCATCTCCTCTTATAATGTGAATATCTTTACTCCTGTTCTTCCTAAAGTATTAGCACAGGTATACTTTAAGCAAAAGAAATACATGAAAACCCAGCTTTGTATGAGTTGTACATTAGAAATTAATAATTAACTTTACAAAAGAATTCTTATATAGTGACTTAAAATGCCTGTGTAATACTTTGTTACATGTTACATGTCTTATGCAAAGTGAGAGATGATTATAGGAAAACATCGGGGAACACACGACAAATACGCAATAAGCAATTGACATTTATTGAGCTTTTACTATATTCTAGATAGTATTCAAAACATTTCACAAGATAATATTGTGAAATGAGATGTAGTTCCAGAAGTATTTTTTTCTTTTTTTTTACAGCATAAAAGGTGGACTGTAGGGTAGGGGACCAGGGGCTCCTGTTCTGTTGTCCCCCAGGTTGGTGGCCCTGCTGGGGTTGTGGAACCTCCAAGACTCCACAGAGCTGAGTTTGTAAACCATCAAATTCTAATCTCACCACCCTCAATTTTCAGGCTAGTAGGGGAAAGACATTGTAAATGAGACAACGTGAATAATAACATGTAAGAAGTCCGAGTGGCAGGGACAGTAGTTGCATTTGAAGAAATGCTGCCTCTGCATTTTGATTTCCTTCCCTGCTCTTACCAAGTTGTTGTTGGTAGCTACTGTGGAGTCAGCCCCAACTTATGGCAACCCCATGCACAATGGAATGAAACGCTGCCTGGTCCTGCATATCCCCATGATCGATTGTGGATTGGACTGTTGTGATCCATAAGGTTTCATTGGCTAATTTTCAGAAGTAGATCACCAGGCCTTTCCTCCTAGTCTGTCTTAGTCTGAACACTCTGCTAAAACCTGTTCAGCATCAGAGCAACACACAAGCCTCCAATGACAGACGGGTGGTGGCTGCACTTGAGGTACATTGGCCGGAAATTAAACTTGGGTTTCTGGAGTGGAAGGAGAAAATTCTACCACTGAACCCCCAATGCCCCCTTCTCTGATCAAGTATAGTATCATATTTGTAAGGAAATTGTGAATTCTAGAGAAAACTAAAATTAGAAGAGAATCAGGTATGGGGCTAGATTAAGGGAACATACTGGTGGAACTGCTGCATTTTTCTCTTCCCTTTTCTCTGAAAATGCTAAAATGAAAAGTACAGATATGCTGTTGGAAAGGAAAACTCAAAAAAAAAAAAAAAACTGAGAAAAATAAAGCTCACAGTATAAAAAATGAGTATGTGCCCCTAAAGCACATACTGGTTTATGATCCCAGAAAGGGATTCTGTAAAAGGGAAGTGTTGAGAATGGCAAGTCCACCAGGCAATGACAGACTAAAAATTAAAGGGAACCCAGGAACTGTTTCTGGTTGAATATTTATATGATTAAATGGAATATTGAGTAATTTTGTTCTCATAAGTTTTATTTTCTTTGGAGTCTAAAGTATCTTTGTTTTGATTTCTTTTCCTCCAGGCTGACCTAGACCCTCAAAGACCGCCAAGGCCAGAAGTAAAAATCACTAGTCCACAGGAAAATGATAACAACGAACAAAACAAAGACTATGCTGTTGTGGCATAGATGGATTTCAAAAAGAGAATATACAGATTATAAGAGAAATGAAGGGTTATAATACTTGAACAATAAGCATACAGTTATTGCTAAACATAATATGACAATATGGCTGAATACTACCTATTGAATTTTAAAATCAGTGGCTGAGAGACTAGATAACCTTTAATAGCTACTAAAGGAAAATGACTTATTTTTATAGTGTGTTTTTAAAAGTCGTTTAAAAAAATTAAATAAGGGACTGAGGGGAATTCGCACTGGAAGATAATTGGCCCCTTTGTAAAGGATAAAGAGAATAGGACCACTCCTATTGTATACTTCTTTGTAAATTTAGAAGCGAGATTATTGCGTAGATGGCAGCTTATTTTAAAGCCATCTATGAAGGCATAGAATTTTAAAGAAATAATATTAGGAAAACGTAATATTTTCGTAAAGCAATAAACTCTTCAATGAACAAATTGCAATTTAGTTTCAGAGATAAGTTTGGAGATGGCAAGAGATTAAAATGTTTCCACCACTTGTTGATATTCTTTTCTTTCTTCCTCCTTAGCCCAAATCCACCTTAAACAAACTGAAAAGACAGTGCAGGGATTTCATTTTGGAAGGAGGAGAAACCTTCATTCAGAGTGTTAATGATTACTGTTGTCAGGTCCCTCCCTTAAATGCTTTTGAGTTTAATACTCAAGGCTTTAATGGCACACACTCAGGAAGGAATTATAAAGGAACACCAAATTATGTGATGTAGCCTGTCTGGCTGGTTTGCAAATTCACATATCCTATGGCTTTTCAGTGATCCGGTCTACTTTAAGCAATAATATCCCTTCCTTCTCCCTCATGTTATTGTTATCAGAAAACTCGATTTTGGTCCCTACAAAATTGAGTTCCCCCCTGGTGTTCCCCCCCCCCAAAAAAAAAACAGAAGACAGTGTAATAGGAAGAAAAAATGTAGATTACGTGAAGTTTTTCGCTGCTCAATTTCACTTGCTTTCTGCTTTATTTCTATTAGGATGGTTTTGTCCATATTTTTGCTCCAAGGGATATCAGCAAATATTTATTTTCATGGTTGGTTGAAGTGAGATGAAACCTCCAAGTAGATTGCTTTCTATATAATCATAAGCTGTTTGTGAGAAATTGTTGAAAAAAGTTTAAAAATTCTCATAATGAAACCAGTTCCTGATCACACATTTTCTGCACTGATTAAATTAAGTTGCTGTTGCCTTGTTAGGTATTATCAGGAAAAATATAATTCATTAGTTTTTTTGAATTCTTAAGAGATGATGCCATTCTTCCTTAAATATAGAAATAATTTATTTTTCTCATATTAAAGAATATTCTTGTTATTATAAAGAGGCTGTACATTTTGAAATTTTAACTTCTAGTGTTTTCATAAGATTCATTATTAATCTGAAATTTAAAAGCTTTTTTCTCTCCAGGTTTTATAACCAACCATAGGCTCAAAGTAGTTGGTAGTTATATAAAGCACTTAATAATGCTATAGAAAACGGATGTATTTTCCTTAGAAGCTATTTTAATATTTTCCACAAATAGGAAGTATAAGTGGAGATGATAATGTTACAGTGTTGGAAAGAGATAATGATATAGAGTATATTAATCTGGGAAGATTAATTGTAAATGGGGTACTATATTTCTAGCATGAAATATAGATTGTGCTTTATACTAGTTCGTGTACTTTTTCAAATGGGATTATATAAATTGTGGACTACAGGTAACAATCTTGTATTGCTAGAGAAATAGGTCAACCGGTCTATTAATGTTAAATTCCCACGCCATTACTGAATCTGAGGTTACTAATTTTAATAGCTTGTAAAAATAAGGCAATAAATATAAGAAGTTATAACTAATTATCAAGATGATTCTCTTTTCCTTTATTTATTTATTTTACACAGGAAATGAATTTAATAAAAGATATTAGGTAGCTCATAGAATCTCTGGAGAATTACCCAACTCTAGTGAGGGCAATTGGTGGTTCAGTGGTAGAATTCTCTCCTTCCACGCAGGAGACCAGGGTTCAATTCCTGGCCAATGGACCTCATGCACAGTTACCACTTGTCTGTCAGTGAAGGCTTGCATGTTGCTATGATACTGAACAGGTTTCAGTGGCGCTTCCAGACTAAGATGGAGTAGGAAGAAAGGCCTGGCCATTCACTTCCAAAAATCAGCCAGTGAGAACCTTACGGATCACAGCAGCCTGGTCCACAACTGATCATGGGGATGACACAGGACTGGGTGGCATTTTGTTTGTTCCATTGTGCATGGGGTCGCCATCAATTGGTGGCTGACTCCAAGGCAGCTAACAACAACGACAATAGGGACCTCACTGCTTGTACCATGAAATTCTTCTGTCTGGAACTGCACCACCAGCACTTCCTCCTTCTGTCTCTGAGACTTGGATGAGTCTGTCATACTCCCTCACCTCAGTCAGAAGGTGGATTCTATGCAGCTTCTGCATCCTCAGGTTGTTCTCTTGCAAAGTGAATTATTGCATGTGTGCATCTGAATGGTGGAGCCCAGTCACATGCTGACAGTAAGAAAGTCAGTTCCAGCTTCTAACTCGGGAGGTGGTGCTCACATTGCGGGAAGAGCCCCAAACACAGGAAGTCTGTTCAATAGATGGTGGCACCACGGACGTGGCAAAGGTTGACTAAGAGGGTGTTGGCTTCCTTGGGCCCTTACGCCTAGTATTTGGGAAAACTGACTCTGAGTGGATAGTTGTGATAGGGCCATGTCCATCCTGGTCCAACAGTCCCTCACTGTAAAGCATGATCACCAGGACATAGGTCTCAGCACAGTTGTGCTTTTTCTGTTACAAATTTAGAGTTCCCTTTTAAACTAATGGGGCGTTCTCGGGTCACCGTGCAAACAGTTAATGTGCTTAGTTGCTTAGGTCTACCCAGAGGCACTTCAGAAAGAGACCTAGCTATCTCCTTCTGAAAAAAACAGCCATTGACAACCCTACGGAGTACGGTTCTACTGTGACACCTGAGGTCACCATGAGCCAGAATCGACTCAATGGCAACTGGTGGTGGTTTAAACTAATGTAGTTAAAAGAGAGACAGGAACACGTTTCTTCAAGCCCCAACCAAATGGATGGTTGTCAAGGTTAAATCCTCTGTTCCACTTAATTTTCTGTGCTGAGTCGTTTTTCTTTATGTATTTTCTTTTCATCTTTTTCATTGTTGTTGATTTTGTGTGTGCTGAGTCTATATTTTTCTAGTTTTTTATTTTGACTTGTAGGATTGTTAGTTTCTTTTGTGGTTACCTTAATATTTACCCTGATTTTTCTAACTTTATACCAGTCTTTTATTTCTTTCTATCACCTTGACTTCCTCTGCATATGAAAAATCTATGTCTACATTTTTTAAGTCCCTTTTTTGTTTTAATGTTGTCATCTTTTACGTATTGACATCTGTTTCTCTATTTTCAGTGTTTTAGCTTTGATTTACTTTTGTGATTTCCCTATCTGCATTGATATCTGGTTGCTCTGTCCTGTGTTCTACTCTTGGGTTGTTATCTGATGTTACTGATTTTCTAACCGGAGGACTCCCCCTTTAATATTTCTTGTAATTTTGGTTTGGTTTTTGCAAATTCCCTACACTTCTGTTTATCTGGAAATGCCCTAATTTCGCTATCATATTTGAGAGACAGTTTTGCTGGATATATAATTCTTGGCTGGCATTTTTTTTTTCCTTCAAGGCTTTATATATGTCATCCCATTGCCTTCTTGCCTGCATGATTTCTGCTGAGTAGTCCGAGCTTATTCTTATTGACTCTCCTTTGTAGATGACTTTTGTTTTATCCCTTGCCACTCTTCAAATTCTCTTTGTCTTTGGTTTTGGCAGGTTGGATTGTAATATGTCTTGGTGACTTTCTTTTGGGATCTACCTTATGTAGGGTTTGATGAGCATCTTAGATAGATATCTTGTTATCTTTCACGATATCAGGAAGTTTTCTGCCAACAAATCTTCAACAATTCTCTCTGTATTTTCTGTTATCCCCCCCTATTCTGGTACTCTGATCACTCATAGGTTACTCCTGTTGATAGAGTCCCACATAATTCTTAGGGTTTCTTCATTTTTTTAAATCCTTTTTCTGATTTTTCCTCAAATAAGTTGGTGTCAAGTGCTTTATCTTCACTCTCACTAATTCCGACTTCCATTGCCTCAGTTGTGCTCCTCTGACTTTCTACTGAGTTGTCTAATTCTGAAATTTTATTGTTAATCTTCTGGATTTCTGATTGCTGTCTCTCTCTGAATTCTTGCAGCCTGTTAAATTTGTCATTATGTTCTTCTCTAATCTTTTTAATTTCCTCTATTGCATGTTCTGCATTTTGCTTAATTTCCTTCCTAATTTCTTGAAGAGTTCTGTATATTAATCTTTTGTATTCTGTCTCCGGTAATTCCAAGAAGTTTTCCTCCTCTGGAAAATGTCTAGATTTTTTATTTTGGGAGCTTGCTGAAGCCATCATGGATTGCCTCTTTATATAATTTGATATTGACTGTTGTCTCTGAGCCATCAATAAGTTATTGTATTTATTTATGTTTGTGTACTGTGCCCTAGCTTCTTGTTTTGTTTTGATATGCCCAAATAGGCTGCTCGTATGAGCTGGTTTGATTATTGGCACCTTTGAAGCTCTAATGTCCTGTCACCAGGTGGTTAGATCTGTTACTAGTATGTGAGCTCAGGAGTCTGCCCACTCCTCCTGTATAGATTCAGCTCAGGTGCCCAGGTAGATAGCCACCAAGTGTGTGATGCGGGCTCTCACCTACAGTCCTAGACGGGCATGGGTGATTGGGGTAGGCACAGGCATCTGGCTGCAGCAGGGGGACACACTCTGAGCAAGGTGGGGTGCTGACGGCCACCCCCGAGTGTCCAGGAGGAAGGCGTGTCCGTGTTCCCTACAGCGTGTAGGTGGGTGGGTTTTGCAGCTGGACTATGAGCACCCAATGCTGTTGGCACTAAGGACTGGGGGGCACCTATTATTCATGGGCCCCTCTTGCAGGTGGCTAGGTGGCATGAGTGGAGCCACCAGTCCTCAGCCCCCTGATGTGGGTAGGTGAATACCCTGCTTAATGGGCAGAGCAGTGTCAAATGTCAAGAACCTGCCACTTCACAGCTGAAACAGTTGAAGTTAGAGTTCCCGTATATACCCTGTTGTACTGTGGTAATGAGGGCCTATGCTGTTGAGATGAGCCCACACAAGTCTATGCAGGCGGAAAGTCACTCAAAGTCTGTGGATCCCTTAAGCCTGTGCCTAGGCAAAGGAGCTGTGCCTACCCTGAGTTCCTGGCCTTAGGAGAGCCTGCAGCTTATTTTTTCCCGTTTGTTAATTTGTTCACTCTCCAAGGCAGGGAGAATGGCTCCAGGCATGTAATGGATCCTGCTTCCAGCCCAGGGGTCTCGGCAATTGCTGATGCCGGTCCGGGACCCAGTACAGAGC